TAGCCGCTGTACGTGGTCTCATTGACCACGGCCTCAACGTCCTCCACGGTCATGCTGTCCTGCGTGATGACGGTCAGCGGGGGGTCACTCCTCCGCGGCCTCATGACGTCCATGGCGAGCGTCTTGTGCGAGAACTCCTCCTTGGCCTCCAGGAAGGGGTACCCGTTGAGGCGGATGTGGGCGTCGTAGATGCCCTCCCGCCCGATGGCGTCGGCCACCCACTTGCTGGTCATAGCGGCGGCCATCAGAGGAACGATGTACTCCAGGCCCCCCGTCAGCTCGAACATGATGACCACCAGCGACACCGTCATGCGGGTCACGCCGCCTGCGGGGAGAACATGGGGAGAGCCGCGTGAACAGGAGATTTTGGGGGTCTCCAGGCAGGACCTGGGGGTCCTGGTGGCCAGTAGGATGCCCATGAGCCACCACTGTGCCCTTGTGGCCAAGAAGGCCAATGCCATCCTGGGGTGTATCAGGAGGGGTGGTTGTAGGGCAGAGAGGTTCTCCTCCCCCTCTACTCTGCCCTGGTGAGACCGCATCTGGAATATTGTGTCCAGTTCTGGGCTCCTCAGTTCAAGAAGGACAGGAACTGCTGGAGAGAGTCCAGCGTAGGGCTACAAAGATGATCAAGGGAGTGGAGCATCTCCCTTATGAGGAGCGGCTGAGGGAGCTGGGGCTCTTTAGTTTGCAGAAGAGGAGACTGAGGGGAGACCTCATTCATGGTTATAAATATTTAAAGGGTGAGTGTCACGAGGATGGAGCCAGGCTCTTCTCGGTGACAAACAATGATAGGACAAGGGGTAATGGGCACAAACTGGAACACAGGAGGTTCCACTTCAATTGGAGAAGAAACTTCTTCTCAGTGAGGGTGACAGAGCCCTGGCCCAGGCTGCCCAGAGAGGTTGTGGAGTCTCCTTCTCTGCAGACATTCAAAACCCGCCTGGACGCCTTCCTGTGTAACCTCATCTGGGTGTTCCTGCTCCGGCAGGGGGATTGGACTGGATGAGCTTTGGAGGTCCCTTCCAGTCCCTGACGTTCTGGGATTCTGTGAAACGCAGAGGAGGTCCTGTACCCACAAGAGGTTGTGCTGCTGGACTCCTGCGTCACCTTCGCTGCGCAGGGGAGGCCACACAGGGGCACACTGAGACCCCCCATCCCCGCAGAGGATGGGGCTGTGTACAAGGGTTTGCTGTGGGTTTGTGGGGGGCATTTCCCTGAACCCCAAAGCAGCCTTAGATAACAATTAACTTCCTCCCCTGTTAATTGCTGGCTCCAAAACAGCCTGGCCAAGCCACAGAAGGGCCTTACAGACACCTCCATAGGCGGATTCATGAAGTGTGAGCTCTGACAGGCCAGTGTCATTTAGCATTAATTCCCCCAAAAACACGGGCTCCAGACACCTCACCCTTTCAAGTTTGCCAGCTCTCAGCCAATTTGGCTACTGCTCATTCCACTTTTCAACACTAAAACAGTGAGAGAAATCAGATGAATCGTTTTGAATACTGACATCACTCTTTTATAGCAGCATTTTGCATTGGCATATTTTAATTATGCCTTTTCAGATTCAAATCCCAAATATTTTAGAGGAGTTTTGCTCCAATAACCATCTCCTGAAGGGGCACACACCCTTCAGTACTGTCCTGTGCTAAACAGAACTGTTAACGGAGCAGAACTGCACTCATTTTTCATCGATTACGTGCAAACAAGAAGGTGTATCCCCTTTAAAAAGGCCGAAGATGGGTTTTGGTAGCTTTAATTGCTGCTGCAATGAGGGTTTCTCCTGGAGTGAAGTGGTCCCTCAAGAGTTACACACGTTACTCCGTGGAGGAGATGACTGGGAATCACAGGGAAAGCAAAGTCCAGTCACGTGCACTCAATTCCTCACATCCAGCCAAGCAGAAGCAGCGTTACCAAAAAGCAGAGTTACAGGAGTTACCTCATGGGATTTGGGGCCAGAACAGGAAGCAAAATGAATTAAAACCCCGCAGGAAAATACCAAGGCCCTGGCCAGTCTCTTATTCAGCAAACTCCCCATTAAACCTATCGTGTCCAACCAGAGGTCGATGCCTGAATGCAAACGGGCTGAGGAGCACACTGCACATCCCACCACTGCGTGTCCTGCTCAAGATGCAGCCGGCTTCCACGGACTGCAAGAGCCACAGCATTTCACCACCGCCCACCCTCACACCACCAACCAGGACCCAAAGGCAGCCTGGGCTCCCACAGCCGCCCCCTTACCCAGACAGGCTGCGGCCCCCACCATGGCGTAGAGGCCGGGCGTGATGCAGTCGGCGCCCTGGCTGCACCAGCCGCTGAAGATGGCCCAGTCGTGGTGGTAGAAGGCCAGCTGCTCCATCGCCACACCGAGCAGGCGGCCCGCGATGGCGCCCACCGCCATGCTGGGGATGAACAGACCCGAGGGCACCTGCGGGAACATGGAGACCAGGTCACAAAGCCCAAACGGGCCCAGCTGAGGGGCAACGCTGAGGGTAAATTCAGGAACGATGCCTTGACCAAGAGATTCAAGCTCTGCCGTGAAAGTGAGGGCATTTGGAAATGGCAAACCCAGCACGGCCGCTGCTGGGAAGTCTCAGCTCTGCACTTCAGCTCCTCCAGGACCCCCAAAGCACTGAAGCCAGGGAATCTCCCCCCTTTCCTTTCCACATCTCTCACAGCTTCCTCACACCCTGTGCATCTTTCTCACAGGCTCAATGATTGCCCTTGAGTGTCAGCAACCACCTCACAGCAACAACAATGTCCAAACCCTCGTGGTGGGGTCACCTTTCTGCATGGACCCCTGGAGGACTGGGGCAGGGGGAGATGCTCAGCTCCC